GAGAGAGAAAGCGAGAGAGAGAGAGAGAGGGAGAGAAAGAGAGAGAGAAAGAGAGAGAGAGAGAGAGAGAGAGAAAGTGAGAGAGAAAGAAAGAAAGAGAGAAAGAGAGAGAGAGAGAGAGTGAGAGAGAGTGAGAGGAGAGGGAGAGAGAGAAGAAAGAGAGAGAGAGTGAGAGAGAGAGAGGGGGTGAGAGGGAGAGAGAGAGTGAGAGAGAGCAAGAGGGGGGAGAGGGAGAGAGAGAGAGTGAGAGAAAAGGAGAGAGAGAGAGATGAGACAGAGAGAGAGAGAGAGAGAGAGAGAGAGAGAGAGAGAGAGAGAGAGAGAGAGCAGAGAGAGAGAGAGAGCGAGAAAGAGGGACATGCCTTGACCCTGCTCTTCAAGCGACAGTCAGACAATCTTGTGTCGCCTGGCAAACCTCAAGTTTACGTTACAGTACGTGCCACGGTCGGGAACTATGACATTCGCACGCGTAGTATAGCGTCGTCACCCGAGTGCGGGCGAATTTCTCTTCTTCGCAACCCTAGCATCTCTCGGGAGAGAACATAAAGTTGGCAAATGTGACTTCCGTAATGAACGTGGCGAATGAAAGGTGATTTCTCGTGTGCGGTGTAGCTACGATGTTGTAGAATGTTGAAGGAAAGGTTGCTTCTAAGGGGGAAATGAATGCACTGTAGCTCTGCTTATATAGCGTGCGAGTAGTCCGTCTACACGACTTCTATAAATGATAAATAATCAATAGCAATATTATGTGTCTAGATATAGAAAATATATATTGTACGTACACGTACTATGAACACAGAGAGAGTCTATTTAAACCTGAATGTGGTGCTGCCCTGTATATCATTAAAAGTCAATGTATAAACAAACTATATATATAGTAGTATGAAATAAATGATATAAATGTGTGACAATGTTAATGACGTCATTAGTGTATGAAGATTATGACGTAAACGACGTCATCATTATATGAAGTTACGCTATAATCGACATTATCAATGTGTTATGCGGTTTATGACGTGTACAACGTCATCATTATTCGAGGATAACGGTGTAGATGACGTCATCACTGTGTGAGAATAACCACGTGACCGACGTCATTCTTCTGTCAGTATTACAACGTAGCCTACACGATGTCAGCAACGTGGCATTTTAACGTATAAACTACGTCATTAAACTATGTGTATTGCGAAGTAATCTACGTTATCAGCACGTACAGCAATGTAAGTCACGCGTTTAATAATGCGTCACTATTACCATGTTAGCCGCGTCATTATTACGTCATTATTACGTCATTATTACAACCTGTCAGTGTTATCATGTATGCTGCGTCATCAATGTGTCATCATTATGCTGATAAGCTACGTCATCAATGTCTCACTGCAATGATGCAAACAGCGCCATTAATGTCCAAGTGTATCCTTTGATGTCATATGTGCGTGCAAGTCACATTACAGCCCCAATTACTCAGCCCTACGTAAAAATATCATAGATTTTATGTACTCTGTAACCCAAGTTTACGGTTTATAAAGAACAACAACTATTTTTGAAGGCAACGCGACCGTTTTTCTCTTAGATTTCTCTGACAGGTGAAAAATTTCGTACAATTTTCTTTTTCATACGAAAGTCTGGTTTTGCTGGGACGTAGGTAGATGTGTACTGGTGTCGTATGTGCCGTGGGAGTGACTGCTTACCCCCTCCCCCATG